ATACCTCAAACACACACACACACACACACACACACACACACACACACACACACACTTTTTTGTACCAGGGATCGAACTCGGGACCTTGTGCTTACAAGGCAGGCGATAGAATCACTGAGCTAACTTTACATATATTTTAAATTGCATATATTGTTGTGTAACCTTCACAGTAAACTTCTGAGATTAAAACTATTACTGCTCCCTTTTTACAGAACAGGAAACTGAATTAGAACGAAGTTTAAAATTGCCTAAGATTACTCAGCTTGTGAGGGGCAGAGCTAACCTCCAAATCCAGGCAGTAGGTCTTCACCACTCTGCTACCGTAGCTGAGTGCTTTGGTGACCAGAAGATCGTCTACAGTGTATGGAAGGTGGTGGATGAGTCATCATCTATATGCAGTGTCACAGGCTTTTATCCCGCATCTTTCTTCCTATTTGCACATTTATAGAATATGCCGCACTCTGCTGACAGGAAGCCCAGGGGTAAAGAGGGAAATCCAAAAGGGCCCAGACAGGTGTGCCCGAATACACATTTCCTAGTTGTTGTAAAATGACTCTGATGCGGGAGTTAAACAGAACCTGAGAGCCACATCTGAAGGGCACAGGTTAGGTGCATCCAACGTCTAGACCTCCAAGTTCTGGTTGGAGAGAACGACCACTGTGGATGGAGTGGTTTTTAAGCTTCCAAAAGGAGGGGCAGCAGGAGGGCTGGCACTGGTCTCTCCCTGGGTCCCCAGGCTTCCTGCTGCCCTCTGCACTTAGCTGATTACGAGGGCTCTGCAGTATGGAACAGAAGCATACAAATGACCAGAAGTGGCCTGAGAGGAGCAGGTCTTTTTAAAGAACACCTCGAAAACCAACCTGCCAGGGTACAGCACTGGCATCAGGGCCAGATCGACAGCGGGTGAAAGGCTGGAGAAGACTGAGCTGATTTGCAGAGAATCCTAAGTCTGAGCTGGGAGGTTTGTAGGAAATGGCAAGCCCCTGAGCTTCCTGAACTTGCCAGGGAGGAGGCAGCGGCAGATTAGGCCTGGAAGAGCTGATGGTGACAGATAGAGGAAAAGCAGACTCTACAAGTCCAGAGAGGCCAGATAAGGTCCCTGGTACTGACACAGGAGACGTGTTGGGAATGAGAGAGGGCAAAGGAATAGCCCACGAGGCTCCTGTTGTGGTCCTCACAGCCTGCTCCTTTCTTCAGGTGACCCTCCCCAGGACCGGCCACCAAGCATCCCCCTGCCCAGTCCCTACATCACCTTCCACCTGTGGACCGACCAGGAGCAGCTCTGTACGTGCCCTTGCCTCTGACCTCCCAGGGGCAGAAGGCTGGAAACTGCGGGGTGTGTGTGTGTGTCCGTGTGTCTTTGGGGGTGTTGGTGTTTGATGTTTGTTTTTCCCCATGTTGTTCTGCACATCTGGAAGAAGAGCCCACGCTCTCACCTCTGGAGTAGCTCAGCCCATTAGCCACTGGTCTCGTGTGCCCGGATTGTGCCACAAGGCCATGATGATGCCTACAGTGTCCCCAAGAGGGAGACAAGCACAAAACATTATGGTTCCCAGAGTCAGGGGAACCTTCTAGAGAGATCTGGGAGTCTGACCCATCTCTCCACTCTGTGTCCTGCCCCTGTCCTCATCCTTCTTCCTCTGTGGCTCTTCTCAGGGGAGAGGGAGGTCAAGAACAGAGGTCACGGTGGGAACTGCGTTCAAGGGCTGGCCCTGCCTTTGGTACACTGGGTTGCACTAGATGGACTCAGCTCTCCCTCTGGACCTCAATTCCTGCACCTGTAATAAACACAAGTGATTGGAAAAGCCTGGCTGTCTTCCACAGAGTTGAACATCTGTGTCAGTGCCCTGGAGGAAGATCTGGAGTGAGAGGTCGGGAGGGCTCCAGGGTCAGCTAAATGCTGGAGGTGCTAGGTTGGGCTGATTTCTTTGGTGCTGGATTCTCATGGCCACTAATATATTTGCTAATAAGAGGCGGCAGGTGTGTGCATGGTTCTGTTTGGGTGACTGGTGTTTGAAACCCAGGGAGCCCTGGCCCTGCTGCCCTGACTGTCCCCCTGTTCTCCTGTCCCAGGGAAGGAGCTGGTGCTCTTTCTGAGCCCGAAATCCCAGCTGCGCCTCAGTGCTGACTTGGAAGCCTTGGATCTGCAGGGCCTGGGGCCAGATGGGGACTTTGCCCGGGTGTCGGTGCTGTCCACAGACAGTGGTATTGAGCGGGACTTTCCTTTGGGGGCCGATGAACTCCCTGACCCGAGCAGTCCTGAGATAGAGCGAGCCGGACTGCAGCGCAAAGGGGGCATCAAGAAGCGTGTGTGGCCCCCAGATTTCTCCATGCCTGGCAGCTGGGATGGGCCACCAGGGCTGCACCGGAGGACGGGCAGGCCCGGCGGGGATGGGGAGCTGCTGCCCGGAGTGTCCCGGGTGCACACGGCCCGGGTCCTGGTGCTAGGGGATGACAGGATGCTGGGGCGCCTGGCCCAGGCCTACCACAGACTCAGGTAGGACCCCGAGCAGGCTGGTGTGGACTGGGGCTGGTCAGGGAGCGGGGCTGGTACCGACTAGTGAAGGATCAGGAAAGGGCAACAGAGGGTCAGGAGAAGAGGCCAGAGTGGGTCTGGTATGTCTGTCAGGTGTGTGGCCGTCACAGAGCGCTGCGCCCAGTTAATTCTCATCACCACTCTGCCAGAGTCATGATGTACCCATCTCACAGATGAGCAAACATAAGTTCTGAGAGATGGTGTGAGTTGTCAAAAGTCAAGGGCTAATAAATAGCAGAGCAGTGTCTGTTTGACACCAAACACCTGCTCTTACCCAGTATGCTTTGCTACCCATCGCCAGGAAACGGGAGACCCAGAAGTTCTGCCTCACCCCCAGACTCAGCCTACAACTGTACTACATCCCGGTGCTGGCACCCCAGGTGACTGGTCAGGGGAGTGGGCAGGAGAGGGGTCCTGGCAGAGAAGGGGTGTGCCAGGCAGGGACACCCCTGCAGCCTCACATTCCTTGGCTCGGGGACCAGAAGCAACATCCTTACAATGTGATGCTGGGAGAGACCTCAAGAGTCTTCTGATTTAGAAGCTGCCCAGGAGTGCTCAAGAGTCTGTATGTGACAGTCGAGTTCTCTCACAGGGGCTACCTTCCCACTGTTGGCTTCTGTTTGGTTTTTGTAATAGAATTAGTTGCAGACTTCTCAAACACGGTCGCTAGTGCTCTCTGACTCTCTCTCTCTCTGTGCATGAACAGCCCCCTCCCCATTCCTGGGATCTCGGCAGGGGAAATTTCAGGCAGTGGAAGCTCCTGAACCTAGTGGGGGAGATGGAGCTCCACCTGCAGGGCTCACTCTCTGCGGCACCCTTTGCTTCCCTCCAGGAGCAGTCAAATCGAAGCAATACTTGTCTCTCCCCTTCTAAAGCTGGCTGGCGGTCATTTTTCAGTGTCCCTACAGGCCAGCTCTGGCCAAAGGCTCATCCAGCATCCCCTAAATTTATGAAACAGAACTAATTTGTCTTCATGTGGTACAGAAACTGAGGGCCCAAGAAATCAGATGACTGGGTCATGTTCACAATGCCCAGGCCATGGTCCCCAGAGGGTACCTGACCAGAAGGGCCTGTCGTGTCTGCCCTGCCCCTTTACCCCCAGGAGCCCGCAGCATCCAGGTCGCCTGAACTGGGAGAGCTGGCCACCTTCTTGGGCCGCGCAGATCCTTGGTACGAGAGCACTGTCAACACCCTGTGTTCCGCCATCCACAAACTGGCTGAGATGGTAGGGGCGGTCAGTGTGTGAGGGAGGGTGGGAGAGAGTGGCTGGAATCTGGGCAGAAGAAGGACCCAAGCAAGGTAGGGGTGGTAGGAGGCTTTTTTTTAATATATTGCCCCAGACTTCAAGAGTCAGCCCCAATAGGGCTTCAGGGTTAGATGGGGCAGGAAGGGAGTAAGGCAGGAGAGGGGCCGTGTGGGGCCAGTGGTTGGGATTCACTGGGAACCCTAACCAGGCTCTTCATTGGGAAAGGCAAAATAAAACACTTTTGCAAGTGTCTAGGCCATCTGAAGTCCTTCTTTTGTGAGATTCCTACATCCTTCCTTCATGTTTGCTGAGTGCTTACTATGTGCCACTGAGTGTACATATTTATATATATTTATTTATTTTGGGATTTTTACACAAAGGGACTTGCTCATTTAATTCTCACAGCAGCCCTACCAGGTAGGTCCTCGCTGCTAGGTGCTGCTGTTGCGGTAACCCCATTCTATGGATTCGATTTGATGACTTGCTCTAAGTAACTGGCTTGAAAGGGCCTTGATCTATTCAGAGTTAGACCCTTTTTCCCTGTCATAGATGTTATAGACCTTTTTCTTCCCACTTTGTAATCACAATTTTTGTTTGTTTGTTTTTTTTTGTTTTACTGAAAGAGTTTAATGGTTTTGTATAATCAGGCAAAGCACTTTTATTCTTTATGGTTTCAGGTTTGAAAAGCCTTCGCCATCCCAAGATTAAATATTCACTGGTGATTTATTTTTGAACACTTTTAGCGCCTTCATTTTTACATTTAAATCATTGGCCCCTTTATCGTTAATTTTAGTGTACCAAGTGAGGTGTGGAATTGTGTTTTTTTCAAGGGTCTAGCCAGTTGTCCTAAAGCTATTTATTGCCTAAATCACCTTGGCTCATGCATTTGTAAGCCACACACATTCTTCCATTTATTTCTGAGCCCCTGTTGCCTCTCATTAATCTACGAAGTTTTGTATACATTGGCAAGTTTCTGTGTTATTATCTGGAGGGTAACCCTACACCATCACTATTTTTTACAATAGTTTTCCAGAATGTGCTTATGTACCTTTCCTGATGCATGTTCAAACTGCATTTCCGGTTTTGTTTTTGTATTTTTTTTTAATTGTATTGGAATTCTGACTGAAATCCAGAGGAGAATTAGCACCTTTTAGCGAGTTAAGTCCCCCTCTCTGGAAGCACAGTACAGCTCTTCGTGTATGAAAGACTGGTTGGATCATCGTACTGTTTTCATCATGTATTTTGCCCTTCTTGGAAAATTATTTCTCATGTCTAATAGTGCATCTTGATGTTGTGGATGGTCTCTTTCTCCCAGTATAGAGCTAAGGGTAGAACTTATTGCTAACGATAAAGGAACTGTTGATTTGTACATATTTATTTATTTGGAGGTTTTCAATTTGTGACTTAAAAACTCCATATAACAAAATTTACCATCTTTTACCCATTTTCAAAAATCTGCCACTGTATTAAATGCTCCATTTTGAGATAAAATTTGGGCTTCCATCCAAGTCTAACACTACGGATTGAATATCCCTAGTCTGAAAATCCAAAACCTAAAATGTTCTATAATTTGAAGCTTTTGAGCACTGACACAATGCCATGAGGGAAATTCCACACCTGATCTCATGCGATGGGTCACAGTCAAAACACGGCTGCACTAAAAATGTTGTATAAAATTGCCTTTAGGCTATATGTTCAGGTGCACATGAAATAATTGAATTTCATGTGTAGACTTGGACCCCATCACCAAGATACCTCAATGTCTATGAGTATATGTTCCAAACTTTTGAAAAAAAATCTAAAATGAGAAACACTTGTGGTCTGAAGCATTTCGGAGAAGACAATCTACCTTTACCCCGGGCCACGTAGATGTTCTGTTTGCCTGAAAAATCCAATTTCTATGCTTCACAATTATGTCGGACTGAGAGCAGCGAGGAGGATAAGGCATTACGTCCATTCACAATAACACACAAACCTTAACTTGTTTGTTTGTTTGTTTGGGGATGGGCTCTCACTGTGCTGCCCAGGCTGGCCTCAAGCTCAAGATCCTCCTGCTTCAAACTTCCCAACTAGCTGGGATGCCACATACCCAGCTTACTACCAAAGCTGAAAAGAGCCACCTGCCTGTACGCTCAGGCCTCAGAGCATTGGGTAATCTGCCCTAGGTTTCCAGGCTAGCCAGGAGCCGATCCAAACCTAGCACCCAGTGCCTTACACATACTGGTGCTCAATGTCTTTGTGGAACTCAAATGCATCAGGATTCTTTGGGGAGATGGACCTGTGGAGCAGTATAGTTTAATTAGGAATAGAAATCAAGTGGTCAGAAAGGTTTTGGAGTGTTCTCAAGGACCAGCTTGATTTGTGGATGAGAGTATGTAGGGAATTTAGTTTATTAAGAAAACGGTGCCCACCACCGTAGACCGGAGGGAGGTGGCTGAAGATATTCCTGATCTCCTCACAGCCCCTCTGTCTGGACACAACTCGGACCGTGGACCCCTTCATCCTTGACGTCATCACCTACTATGTTCGCATGGGCACCCAGCCCATCTATTTCCAGATCTACACAGTCAAGGTAAGCCTCCTGCTGGGCTCCAACCATACCCTGCCAGCCTGCTGAACCTCAAGACCCCACAACCTAAACACCTTTGTCTAGGAAAACACTGGCTACCAAGTTGCTAGTCATAAACAGACCCAGATGCTACTGGTTGTCAAGTTTATATTCTTTGTCTCTGAGAGTCACATAATTATCAATTTATAAGACCTCGTCTCCAAGCAAAAGTTTGGGACTCTGGGATCATCAGATCCATACTCTGTTTTGAAGTCTCTGGTCACAAAGTCCCATCACTCCAAGACTTACTTTCTCTCCCACCACCCCTCTCCTCGGCCTCGTGGAGACCTGCAGGTCCCCACATCTGCCCACACCGACCATCCCCTGCTGCAGTCTCTCCTCTGAGCTACTCTCTTATCTTGTCCCTCATTTCCCTTTTCACTCCTTCCCTTCCATCTCCCCTCCCAGCAAAAGCAAGCTCAGATCAGCACTGTCCTGGTCTCTACCTTCCACTCTACTTGGGCTTCCAAGCACTACCTGGGAACATGAATCCAAGGCCCTGTGGCTTCATGCCCTCCTCGGCCAGGCCCACAGCTGAGCTCCCCGGGCAGGGTCCCTCTTCCTCTGGGACCATGGCTGTTCCAATCTTCACCATTTTCCTCAAGGCCTTCCCTTTAGCAAATGCCTTTTATACCTACTCCACTGGAAAGAGAAATGGAAGCCATTAGTTCCCCTCTCCAAACTTCTGTTCGTGCCCCCAAAATGTATCTATGCCCACTGCCATTGTCGCTGTCTCCTCCATTGGGCAGGGGCTCCATCCAGTTTGGGACAAATCCTTTTGTCGATACTCTTATCTCGTCTGCTACCGCCTCCTCCTGGCCCTTCTTCCAAAGGCTTTCACCTGTTCCTCCCCATCATTCATTCTTGGTAACCCAAGAAGTTTCCATTTGTTTTTCCCATTAAGGATACGCATGACAACAGGCTTGATGGGGTGAAGCCCACGGGTCAGACTCTCTCCAGTCCTCCATCTCTGCACCTACATTGTTTTCGAGCTTCATACTCTTGCTGGCATTAATTATGGCAGGGGATTTGGCTGATATGGCTTCTAAGAGTTGGATTTTGGAGCTTAGTTTCTCTCTCCTCTCTTTCCCCTATTTATTTCTCCTTTCTCCTCCTCCTTCTCCCCTCCTCTCTCGCCACAGTGACAAGATGACCACCGGCCGTTCTACATCTATATTTGTCTGGCTTAGCAGCTCAGTGGAAAGACGGCTTGTCTTTTCCAACACTGGGGAAAAGACTGGGACAAGTGCTTATCCCCATACGGATCACTGTGGCCAGGGAGATGGGTCACGTCTTCCCCCTGAGCTCGAGGTGTGAAGGTGTCACGGAGAAGCTGGGTCCTGACACGGCGAGAAATAGGTCCTTCTCTTTCTTAGTCCTTGGTTCTTTGTGCCCTTGATGTAAGAATTCACTTAAGACATACAGGCTTGACAGGAGTGTATGTATAGTTTATTGTAAAACAAACATAGAATTACCCTTCAAGTGAGAAGGCAGGCAGTACCACCAAAGCATCTGTACGGAAGCATTAAGTACACAAAAAATACTCCTGTGGTTCAAGAAACTAGGGTAATTATGATGCCCATCAACACTTTACTTAGAAGAGTTGGAGATTTAGCTCGGTGGTTTGGTGGCCTCCCTTGCAAGTGCAAGGACCCAAGTTCAATCCCCGGTACCCAAAAAAAAACATTTTACTTAGAAGTCACTTAGGAATTGCATAATGTCTTCATGTCCTTGTTAAATGGTCAGCACCTCCTCAGGGTGCTTTAAACATGTAAGAAATGTAAGGAAGAAATTTACAAAAGATAAATTCTTAATTTAAGCCAGGTGCCAGCCCAAGACAGGGGGATCTTTAGAGAACGCTCCCTTTCCTGGTATCATTGGGCTATGGCAGTCAGGACTGCAGTGTGTCATTCTGGAAATAGACGGCCAGGTGTGAGAAGGACTACGCATTTCCCTTTCCTGGTATCATTGGGCTATGGCAGTCAGGACTGCAGTGTGTCATTCTGGAAATAGACAGATGGCCAGGTGTGAGAAGGACTACGCACGGGATTGAAACTTAAAATGTCACTGGTTCTGTGGGATCACTTTGGGTCTGAGATCTAACTGTGATTATAAGTGTATTAGACCTGGATGTGTTCATTTCTTTAGTTCTCTGGCAATGCATACTACCTGCCACTTCTGTCCCTCAGACCTTTGATGTCTAACTACCTGCCTAACAATGTTAACTGGCTCACTAACTCTTAGCCTGGTTCACTGTCTCTAATTTCTTACATCACCCTCAAACCATGGAAGGAAGGGGGGCTCTTCCAAACCTCTTGTTAATGGCTTTCAAGTCACCAACCCCAAGAATGTCTCCAGTCCAATCTTGCTGGGCTCTCCCACTTCCCCTGTTTCCTTTGTCCATATAATTAAATTTATGATAAGCCATGTTTGTATCACAATTACCAAAGTGAAAACACCTGTGTCCCCATTTGTGAGGCTGCCCCTCCCCTGACTTTTGTGCCACTCTCTCCTAGTCCTCCATGGCCTTCCTGATAGTCCTCCTCTGTTGCCTTCAGAAATGTTTCTAGGACCAGACAACCCCTTCCTTCTGTTCTGGTTTTCTTCACTTGCTCTGATGCTCACCACTGGGCCTTTACTTGTGCTGTGCCCTAACCCTAGAATGCCATCTCTCCCCCGCCTCACATCCTTTTCTTCACCCACTACAACTCTCACATCCTACACAAAACTGCCCTGACCTCCATTCCTCTCACCCCAGCTGGACCAGGTACTTCTCTTCTGTGTTCCTATAATGCTCTGGTCATAACTATAGCATATCATGTGATGTGTCAATCTGTAATACACCTGTGCACGTGTGTTGTTCCCCATCAAGGCACCCCTTGAAATAAGGAGCTATGTGCTGCTTATCTTGAATCTCCTACTCTTATAAGGGGTGTGTGTGTGTGTGTGTGTGTGTGTGTGTGTGTGTGTGTTACAGAATGTGTCACTGAGGTCTTGACAATTGGCTGGTGGGATGAACATACAGTCACAAGCAATATGTGGCACTAAAGCATTCACAATTATGCACTTTGGTCCCTTTGCTCGTTGGCTGAGAGATCACAGATGCCTCTCCCTCTCTAAAATTCACTTTCATCATAATTAAAATGGGAATAATAATCTCTACTAGCCATACAGCTCTTGTGGCAATTTAAATGAGTAGAAAAATATAGTAAGGACTTCAGCGAAGTCCAGGGCAAGGAGGTAGACACACAGAAGTTCCTGATACACTGGTGAAGAACTTGGAGTAGAACCCAGTTTTGCTGCTTGGGCCCCTGGGCAAGTTGCTTAATATCCTAGAGCCTGAGTTTCCAGGCTCCTTTGATGATACCTTCCTGCAGGATTGTGTGATGATTACATGAGATCAGGCGTGTCCAGTGCCTACCAGAGGGCCTGGGACTGAAGAAAATCTTGACAAAAGAAACTCTCGAGCCCTCCCAGGTCCCTGTCCTTTGGGGTCATCTGCAGGTCCAATCCACTCACTGTCCACAGCCACCTGCTGCAGTATAGACTCATATAGTCGTGTCATCCCAGCATTCATTTGGGGTCACCCTACTGCTGAAAATCTAATATTTGCCTGAACCCCAGTGAGCATTCTAGGGAAGACTTAGCATATTACCCCCGTGTTGAAATTTTGGTAAGCACCTGGGAACTGATTCCTCACAGCCGTCTCCATAGTTTCCTGCCTTATTGAATTCTTGTTCACTCTGCATCTTGGGCTAGATATTATCTTTATCACCTTCCTGATTTTGTCCTCAATGCAGTCCTTTCCTTGAGTTCCAAAATGCAACAAAACAAAACAAAACAAAAACCATAAAACAAGCTAAAAGCCTCTCCCAGTGGCACCAACACAAATCGTTTGCGATTAGAGATTTGGTACCTGCTAGTGCCCTTAAGCCCACAGCCCCCAGGAGCTCACTGTAGGTGCTTGCAGGCCCGCTGCAATGATGGAGGATGCCCACCAGGGGGAGCCACGCGGAGTCATGGGGGTGTCTCTGCAGGAGTTGCTAGGAGGAATTTACTCTGGGATTTGGACTCAAGTCGGAGGTTTGATGGGTAGTCCCCCAAAGTAAGATTCTGCTCTGGGTTGCACACTGGCAGGAAATGCAAGTAATTCCACGATTGTGTATCTCAACAATTCTGTTGAGGCTAAGGAGTCAGCCATCACTCTCACAGCTGGGGTGGCAGGGGCAAGGAGACAGCTGCTCAGGGTCCCTTTTTGTGTCTGCTTTTGGATGTGATTGTGTAGTGGTCTGGTCTTTGGCTTGGTCTGTCACGGTCACACAGCAATAACATCGGTTTCTGTGATGTTGTTCATGACCCACAGGACAAGCCATGGCCTCAGTGCGCACACCAGGCCAGCTCTCAGCCTCCAGCGCCTTCAGGTGTACTTCTCACATCCCTGTTCTTGGGAACCCTTTGGCCATGCTTCCTTGGCATTGGGGCTCCCCTTGTCTTCCCCCAGCCACACCCAAGATCCTCCTTGCTCCACCCTCTGCCCAGAGTCTTCCCATTGTCCAGTCAGCTCCCAGCAGCCCTGCCGCCCTCAGCCCAGGCTTCTCTGTGTACCTGAGGAGCCAGGTTGTCCTCTGTGGCCCTCACTGTCCTTCAGGGTCTGCAGCAATGTCACCAGCCCTCGCCAATGTGAGCGTTATCTCCTGTTGCTGCCCTCCCCATTCCACCAGTGGTTTTCAGGTAGTTTGGGTTTTCAGTAGTAGTCTCTCCCATTATTTAGAGTCATGCAAACTTCACCATTAGCTGGTTCTGCCATTGTGAAAACATCGCAGAGTGTGTGTACTTACATAAATCTAGATGGAGTAGTCAGCAACCTGAGCTGAACTTTTGAGGCACTCAAGAGATTGAGTAAACAGAACATGTAAGGGGCTGCTGCTGGCTTTACAGAGCACAGTTCTTTCCTGGATTAAAAAATATGTAGACTATGCCAAAATAACAAGAATACATAACATAGTCATCGCATAAATAGGCAACATTGTTTGGCGTTGTCATTACCATGCACTGCATGTCCAGCTGTGTGCGCTATACTTTTATACACCTGGGACAGCACAGTGGTTTGTATCCTCCATTGTCACCACACACACACGGGTAAGGTGCTATGAATGACATCACTAGTAAGAGGAATTTTCTGGCCCCACTACAATCTTAGGGGACCACAGTCAGTTATGCGTTCTGTTGTGGACAGAACCATGGTCACAAGGCTCATCGCTGTATTTTCTATTGCTACAGCTATGGAGATTCAAACTGTGGTGGTCAATTCACACGGTTTTGAGTTCAGCTTTGGCAGCAGGTTTGGGGACACCATCCCACCCCTAGATTTTCCTCTGGCCGTGGAGGGCAAAGACAGCAGCTGCCTCTGGCCCAGACAGTGAGCCTTCACCAAAACTCCCCCTTCCTTCCCTCTCTGTTCCTTCCTCTCCAGATCTTCAGCGACCTGAGCCAGGACTCAGTAGAGGACATTTTCCTTACTGAGCTGAAGGTGAAGATCCAAGACTCCAAATCCCCCAAAGGTGAGTGTCTGCTGTCCTTGCCCCGAAGCTCACCTGGCTGAGCCTCCCTTGGATTCTTCCTCCAACCTCTCACCTGGTGCTGCCCTTGGCTCCTTCTGAGCTCCCCCAGACTGAAAGACCTGGTCTACATGGGGTGCTGCCTCTCCATACAGGCTGAGCTGCTGGGACAGCCACCAGCTCCACTCCAGCCTGAGCGAGGGGAGTCAGGGCAAAGGGCTGGGGACACCCCTCCAGCCTCTTCTCCTCTTCCTTCAGAGGGAGCTTCACCAAGAAGGAGAGGGGTCACTGAGAGCCCAGGTGCTGAGCTCTCCATCTGCTACCAGAAGGTCAGTGTGCATGGGCCTGACCAGATGGCCAAAGGTACACCTGGCCTCAGGGATGTGTGCAGGGATGGGAGACCACTGGAGCTGAATGAATCTTCTTCTCTATTCTTAAAGCTGCTGCTGAAGTTTCTCAGCCTTCGGAGGGTCTTGCAGGATAGAGGTGGGGAGTCAAGGTTGGCCTTTTACGCAGGAAGGAGAAGTGATTTAAGGAACAAGACTCGCTAAAAACTATCTTCCTCCCTAGCTGGCCAGATGCCTGAACTGGTCTCATTGGAGACTTGTTCCTTTGGGACTGGAAGGTAGCCATGCCCTCTGGGGCTAGAATATTCTTAAGCCTTCTCCTCAGGCCCCTCGCTGGAATCAGTGACACAGATGAGAGCTTCAGGGCAGGGGCAGAAAGTGGGACTGTGGATGTGAGATTCATGGGGGAGAGCACGTCCTGAGGACCCCATCTTCTCCTCCATCTCCCTCCCTAGGCTCTGCTCAGCCATCGGCCCAGAGAGGTCACCATTTCCCTGAGGGCAACGGGGTTGGTCCTGAAGGCCATTCCAGACAGTGACACTGAAGGTGAGGAGATGGGAATTAGAGCAGAGAAAGACAGAAGGCATGAGGAAGGGATACTGGGGAGAGGAGGGGAGGGCTGAGCCCAGCAGGGAGGCCCACCTCATCCCAGCCACCACAGAAGTCAGAAATGCAGGGGCCCAGCCGTGTGTGGTCCTGGCTAATGCATGTTTCCCAGCCTCAGATGGCTTTCAAGTAACTGGAACTCGAGGTCAGGACTCGGGACTCGGCCTCTGCAGCTGGAAGGTGAAGGACGTGGTGCGATAGGCTCCTGCTCAGAATTGGGCCTGAGGGGTAGGCACACTAGGTTTGGAAATTTTGGATTTTGACAGTCTTTCCCCAAAAATACCATTTCATGTGCATGTGGTAATTTATAAACATCAGCTGTCACTGTGAGATTGCTGGTCTTCTGGACTAAAGAGAAAGATTGGCTGGGTGTGATGGCACACGACTATAATCCCAGCACTCGAGAGGCTGAGGCAGGAGGATCACATGGACTACATAGTGAGACGTTGTCGAGAAGTGTGGGGGAAGGAAGGCAGCATGCTTTACTAGCCATTGTTTGCTTTTGGTCAGCGCTGGGTGATGCTGTATAAAACCTATGAAGTCCCTGGAGCGTGTGAACCCTGTGGGGTAGCTATTATTGAGCAGTAATATTTTACTGGAGAGGAAACTGAGTCAAAGAAAAAGAACTCCTCCGAGGTCACTTCTGTGCGGGAGAGTTGGGAGTGGGTGCGTTCACACTATGTTCCTTAGCTCTGTCCTGCCACCTGCCTAGAACTGCCACCTCTCAACAGACTGGACTTCAAGGGTCACCCCACAGAGGCTTGTAGATCATTTCTGAGCAAACAAGCAAGTTCACCACTCTTTCCCCTGTGCCTAGCACATAGTAGACATTCAATAAACATTTACTGAGAGTGTCTACTTTATACCAAAGAATAGTTTTTTTTAAGAAATGGGTGAATGAATTTGGAATATTCCAGAATGAGTAGAGTAGAAATATGCATTACAGGCTGGTCATAAAGCAGTGGGCCAAGGGGGCAGGTTGAGGGTCAGAGAGGCAGAGTTTCAACCTCCGCTTTGCCACTTACCCTCTGCGTGGCGTAGGGCCGGACCAAGCAGCATCAGGAAGTGGGGCTAAGCAGAGTGTAGGGGCTAAACCAGAGGGGTGGCAGGCAGGCTGGGTTCCTGGTAGTCTTCCTCGACTCTCCCACCTCCCTGGAGAGCCACTCATAGACCCCTGTCTCATTCATTGTCAGGGTCCCCCCATTGCCCCCCAGCTGCTGTTCCTGTGACGGCTCACACGTATCTGAACGTCATCGTGACAGAGGCTGTCAAGTCCTCCAACCTGGCAGGAAGGTCCTTCTCTGTAAGTCCTGGGGGAGACGGGGAAGGAGGACCATCGAACGGGAACCATGGAGGGGGCTGGGAGCCCCAGGGAGTGTATTCAAAGAAGGGGAACTGACCTCTGAGCTTTCTACCATAGTGTGGCCTTCCATCAGAAGGCATTAGCTTTCCCAGCAATGCGCTTAAAATACAGAGTACCAACTGGTACAAGTATGACACGCAAAGGCAAGAGCCTGTCCACCTGCTCCTGAGGAACTGAGACAACCCCAGATAACCACAGAGTGCACTCACGTCAGTCTTCCCCAGGCACCACATGGTGGCCAGACTCGCACAACACAGCCCGGCCTCAAATCCACTTGTTCAAGTTCGCTGTCCCCATGGCTGCCTGCCCCCTTGCCCTTGGCTTTGCCGTGATTGGTTCTTCCTGATCAAGACATCTTCTCCCCACCTGCCGGCTCACTGGACTTCACTGTACTCAGCTTGACCTTAGAGACCCTGATTCTTTCTGAACTGTTCTCGCTGACACCTTCGACTCCCATCCACCACTCACTAGGCAGACACTGGCTCTGGATCAAGCTGCCTGGGGAGACTGTATGCCCAGGTGGCTGAGAGCTTCTGGAATAAATGCCACATCCACCTCAACTAAGTACCAGTACTCTCATGGCCTCTCAGTGCTCACACACCTGCTGTCCTTCAGCTCCTTTCTCATGGTCTCTCAGGCTCTTCTCATTTGCTTGTAATTCTCTTTTCTCTGGCTGTGATCTCATCCTCTCTCCTGCTCCTTGTTCTTAGCCTATCAGCATGCTCAGGCCTTCTCCATAA